CCTGAGCCACTGTCAGGTTCAATAAGCTCCAGCAGTCTCTTGCAAAGGGGGCATCCAAAGAACAAGTGAACCAATGTCTCTTCAACTGACTGCTGACATAAAACACAGTTATAAGAATCCAAAACCATGTATCTTCTTCTCACTGTCAAGTTCAATAAGCGCCAGCAGTCTTCTTCTCAAGATGAGGTGTCATCTTCAGCCAAGTCACTGTGGAAATTCAATTCATGGTTGCTTTTATGACATGAATTCCATAGAAAAGGAAACTGGGCATTTACTATCTAGCTTCTTGGCTCCTGAGCTTTGTCTCCCGTCAGTTCTCAAGAGTGCCGTATACAAACTACAAAGAAGAAACAGGAGTCGTACCAGATAGTGGAGGTGAGCAGTGCCTTTGCAGGCTTCGATGTTGTAGCCCGCGACGGCGTCGGAGTCCATCCCGCCCGAGCGCCGTCGCGCCGGGGGAGCAGCTTCTCGTGCTGGTGGAGCCGCCGTGTGCCGACGGCCCACCTAGTTCGTGTCGGCGGAGTCACGTGCGCCCGGAGGGCGGCCACGCACGCACAGTGGCGGCCGGTGGTTGCTCTGGCCGGGCTTGCGCGGCTGAGTGCTCGCGCGTGCGGGTGCGGGCTCCGGTGAGTGGCGCAGGCACGCCCGCGATCTTCCTCGGCAGTGTCCGGGGCTGGCCATCGCCGGAGCTGCGGCAGTGGCTCAAGTGGCGGCGCCATGGGCGGGATTTGGGAGAGCTCGATTTCGAAGTCCTGCGCCCACATCCACCCCGGAGCGACATCAGGGGCCCCTACGCTGGCGGTGCCGCGGGAGCGCACGGGCGTGGCGGCCCCGGCTGGCCTGGCGTAGGCGAGGGCCCCAGCGACCCCGGCGCAGGGGGAGGGGGGTACGGGCGCGACGGCTCCGGCCGCAGGCAGCGCACGGAGGCGGCAGCGTCTTGGGCCTCCCGCTGCGCCGCCACGTCGGGAGAGAGGGAGAGAGAGGAAGGGCCACGAGGGCGGCAACGGCGGCGGGGGCAGGCGGCGCGAGGCCGCGGCGAGCTCGGGGCGAGGAGGGCGAGGACGTTGGATTTGGGCCGGAGGAAGGGGCGGTGCCGGAGGAGGAGAGGCTGCGCCGCTGCGGGAGAAGGTTCGTAAGCTGAGAGGAGGCCTGGATCGAGGGTTGATTTCGGTAAAGTTCAAGGGCTTTGTTGAAAAAAATCCTAAGAGAAGGCCTAGAGTGCGGGTTGATTCGACTAAAGATCGAGATTTTCTTTGCAAAAAGACCGGAGCTCGCACGATCTGGGCCGTCTGCGCGACCGATCGAACGACTTCGAAAAGCATGCGACGTGGCACGCTGGCTGGCTAGCTTTTGGAGGCAGGATTCATATGTAAAGATGGGAAACATGTGAATTTGCAGTGACAAACGAATTTGATGGTTTGAATGACAGATACTTTACCTGCCCAGAATGGGGGGACACCACAAAGCAAAATGTACAGAATTACCCCCGCGCTCCACACATCAGCTTCTGGACCATAGCATTTCTGAAGTCCTGGTGCATGACGCCGAGCGAGTGGCATCCCTCCACGACCCCGACAATGGTCTTGATGAGCTTCACCGCTGTGCGCTCGCTGTAGTGTCCCTTGGCGACGATGCGGTCGAAGAGCTCGCCGCCGTCGTAGAGCTCCATGACAATGTGCACAAAGAGCGCGTCCTCGTAGGCGTCGTGGATGCGGACCACGTTGGGGTGCTTGGAGAGGTGGTGCATGATCTGGATCTCGTGGTACATGTCCTCATAGTCCTCCCGGCACAGCAGCTTGCGCTTGGTGATGGACTTGCACGCGTACTCGGCACCGTCGGCCTTGCCCACGCTCTGGTACGTGGTGCCGAACTACCCCTGCCCACGCTCTTGCCGATGCGGTAGTGGTCCCACATGTTCGCCGCCTTGTACGGCAGCACGGACGCCGGCCGCTCCGACGACAGCGCCGGCGCCGTCACCGGCTGCGGCAGCGGCAGCTTCGCCTTTGCATTGCCGGCGTCCCCACTCGGGTCCGGCTGCATTGGCGCCCCCCAGGTGAGATCCCCCGGATCAAGAACCGCACGGAGGCCGCCGCCGCAGGAAACGAAAGCCTGTTCTTGGACGAGAAACCGGAAAACCCAGAGAAAAGTTAGAAATCTGGGGACACGGCGATGACGAACCAGTCAAAAGGGAAGAGAAATCCACCTCTCTTGCTACAAATTTCTGCAGCTCCTCCAAGGATTTCCGTGGGCTGGAGACAGAAGAACAGGGGGAAGATCTTGGAGCGGGGGAACAGTGGAGCCCTGCTGCAGATTGAGATTGAGAGCTGAGGAACAAACGAACCAAGGCTACCTCCTCTGCCTGCTCCGCCACCACCACCAAGGTCACCTGCTCTGCCACCACCACCCATGCCGCCACCGCCCATGCCACCACCTCCACTGCCACCCATGCCTCCGCCTCCATCCATGCCACCACCTCGACCACCACCCATGCCGTGGCGCCGGATCCGGAGGGAGGAGGGAGGGAGGGAGGCGGCGGGGCCGGATCCAGAGGGGAGGGGAGGCGCGGCGACCGGATCCGGAGAAATCCGGGAGGGAGGGAGGCGGCGGGGCCGGATCCGGAGGGGAGGGGCGGCGCGGCGGACGAATCCGGGGAGAGAGAGGGGGGCGCGGCGGCCGGATCCGGGGAGAGAGAGGGGGCGACGGGGAACAAGAGGGAGGGGCCGGCCGCCGAGGAAGAGAGGGCGGCACCGGGGAAGGAGAGGGAGGGGCCAGCCGGGAATAGAGGGAGGAGAGGGGCCGGCCGCCGGCGGGATCCGGGGAGGGAGTGAGCAGGGGCGAAGGGAGGGGAGGGAGCGAGCTAGGGCGAGAGGGAGGGAGGGTGGGAACGGGAGGCGACGTGGGAAGGATTTTTTATGCGGCGTGTGGTTTTTTTCATCTTTGCTGAGTGTTTCTTTTTCGACACTCGGCAAACCCTCTCTTTGCCGAGTGTTTCTTTTTGACACTTGGCAAACTCCCCTCTTTGCCGAGTGTTTTTTTACACTCGGCAAACCCGCCTATTTGCCGAGGTTTTTTATTTCGCCGAGTGTTTTTAGCACAGCATTGGGCAAAGAATTTGTTTACCGAGTGCCCGAGGAAATGCACTCGGCAAATTTGAGGTTTCTGGTTGTGAGTGTTGATCATTTCACCACTTTCTCTAAGTCCAAGTCCACCTTGCATCCATTTGAACTATACCTTGTATACTAGCAAACAACATTAGTCCAATTGGTCATGTTGTTCCTCAAACACCAGAATCCAAACTTAATGGCCCATAGGTTTCATTTTCCTTACAATCAGTAGCTAAAGCTTTCGTGCAACACATATATCGGCTTCATGGGTTACCTTCGGTGATCATTGCTGATCAAGACCGCATCTTCATAAGTACCTCTTGGAAGGAGTTGTTTCATTTGGCTAAGGTGTCTCTGCATAAGAGTTCCAATTATCACCTCTAATTAATTGGATAGTCAGATTAAGCGGCTGAACTAAACTATGGAGACCTTCCTTCGTTGTTTTGATAATCCTTGTCCTACTAAATTGCTGAATTGGCTCGCACTCGCGGAATTTTGGTATAACACTTGCCCACACTTCACAGTTAGTCGTTCTCCATCCGAAGCACTCTATGGTTGTGTGCTTAAGAACTATACCCAGGTCAGCAACGCCAGTGGCTGGATCTTGGATGATGGAAATTGGAACAACGGAGGAGACGATTGCATCTAGATGGGGATGAAGGGGAGGAGAGGATCTGAATGGGATGACTTTCTTGAGGTGCAGCCACCGAAGACGAAGAAGACCCCTAAGCTGCCACCACCGATGCGGACAACAATGGTGGAAGCCACGAACCAACATGATGGCGGGGAAAGGGACCATGTGAGCCAAACTCTTAACTAAAAACTAACCTTAGATGTCCGAAGAGGCAAATCCCCTCTCCTCCTTGCAATCGACAACGTTGCCAAAACAACAGAAACAGGGAACCTCGGGTAGCGACGACGGCTAAGAACCCAATCAGGAGGCGTGCAGGGGCGTTGTTTGGCGGGCATCAGTAGTATGCCACAAACTTTTTTACTTCAAAAACTAATATATGTTTGATTTCATATGCTTGTGATTATTTATGTAGATGGTTTTAAAATTTTCTTGACCATGCTTGGAGGACCAATGGCCTATTTGTTTGAGCTACAACTTTTAGGTTTTTGGATCAAAAGCTAGCTTTCTAGATTTTATCTTTTGGCTGATGGCTTTTTGCTAGTTTTTTAAAAAAATTTTAGCTTTTATCATACCAAAAGTTATAAAAGTATGCTCATAGTGTGCCTTTTAGGTTTTAGTTTATTTCCTCTTAAGCTATTTTCTAGGTTTTTAAAAGCCAATTCAACAATTGGGTTGTTTGATTCACCTTTTGGCTTCTGTCGGATAGAAACCAGCAAAAACCTGAAAACAAACATGCCCTAAAAGTTGGGAGGAGTGAATTTCCTTTTCATCTTTAAGCTGGCCGAACTTTGGCATGTTTCCTAGAGCTAGGATGGGCAAAATTTCACCTTTTACCCAAAAAAGTTTGTTAACCAAAATTTTCGTGATCTTTTTGTTAATAAATTTATTTGGTTTCGTATGACTTTATATTAAACATTTAAAATATATGCATTTATATTTTTAAATGTATTTCTATGATATTTTATTTGGTAGAAGCATTCTTTGTTGTTGTTGTTTCTTTTCATTTGTTATAATATGATGCGTTTTTCTTAGGTGCTTTTCAATACCATTATATTATTGAATTATCTTCATGTATAAAGTACCAAAACTGATTTTGTTCAGCTATTAGTTATTTATTAACAACAAATTCAGTTTACATTTGGTTAAAATCGAAATTTTTGATAACCGATGGAACGATTTAACTAACTGAATTAAGCGAATGGCCCAGGCGTAGCCAGAGGGAGAGGCGTAGCCACTGCCACGCCCATGCCACCCAAAAACTCATGGCCAGCGCTGTCTGCGGCGTCACCGCGGGCCCGCACCTGCCTTCCGCCGTCCCTGCAGCCGCAAGAAAGCTCTTCTTCCGCTGCAGGGCGGCCTCCACCATGAACGAGGCATCTGCGAGCTCGCCAGACGCCGAGGAGAAGAAGACGACGACCGTCTTCGTGGCTGGCTCGACGGGGCGCACCGGCAAGCGCGTTGTGGAGAAGCTGCTGGCCATCGTCGCCGGCACGACGGACGTGAACAGGGCCCGTGGCAGCCTGCCCCAGGACCCCAACCTTCAGCTCGTGAGTTTAAGCTGACGTGCTTCTTGTTTCGCCCTCGTTAAATTGGTGGGGTGGTGTTGTGAATTTGGGCCTTTGACTCTTTGAGTGACTGAAGGTCAGGGCTGACGTTACGGAGGGCATCGACAAGCTAGTGCGTCGATGCTGTCGTCTGCACGACGGGATTCCGGCGGTCCGTTGACCCTTTTGCTCCGTGGCAGGTTTGTATCTGTTAATTTGTACAGAGTGACTGATGCTTCTTTCAGGTGCTATTATAGGGCTAAAATTATGAAATAGTGTAGGGAATGTTCTTGCCAGAATGCCCAGATTTAAATGTTTGTACCTGTCAAAAGTGTTCAGATTCTGTAGAAACTTTGGTAAATGTAGGTTGGTCAGCATTCTTGGCAGCAAGTTATTCTGAACCAATTAGTTTGAAGTTGCTATTCACACGTTCAGGCTATGCTGCCATCTCTTAATTCAAAGAAACTGTAACCTTACTACTACTGATTATGACTACAGATAACTTCTATATTGAGTAATTGGTGGAGCAAGGTCTCGAGTCGCCCGCACCGCCGCGCTCGCCTCTGGGTACGGTTCAGGTAGAAGACCAAGTTCGAGTTCTCCTCTCCTCACTCATCCGTTACATAGAGGGGCCTTGTTAGGTCTGCCTCTCGTTCTGGGCCACACAGGCCCGATACTCCTACTTCGCCTCTTCTTGGCCGATCATACGCGGATTGGGCCGCCTTCTTCTTGCCACCCGGTCCAGCATACCAGGTACACGGTCGCCCTTCTGAAGTACGCCTCCCGTCACCGTTTCATCATCTTCAGATTCTTCAGGCTCTTCTCCAGCTGTAGTGACCGGAGTCGTCGATGGAGCATCGACGGTGACAGAAGCATAGGGCAGTTTCCCTCTTAATAAAATACACGCAATCCAAGCGTGCTCGTGAAAAAAAAGAAGAAGAATAGGGTAGTTAGTATGGGATTATTACTTTGCAAATTGTATGCATCAAATTCTCAATTCTGAAAAGAATTCGCTTCAAAAAATCCGAAAAGAATGCTATATTCGAGGGTTGCCACATCACCATTCTGCTGTTCCTGGTGGGATCTGGTTCAATATCTGGACAGTTAATTTGGACCCCTGAATTCCTAAAACCAGGCCAGCGGGCCATTGAGAATTCAATTAAAGTTTGAATTCACGCAGCATACAACTCTCAGTATTCTTTTGTGGGGCAATTTTAACATGTTTCATGTTTGGTACTTATAAGATGATCTAAGTTCACTTGTGCCCACTAATTTTACCTCAGTGCTAGTTTTCTAGACCTTGGTTCTTGCATTGAGTACTATTCATAGTGTAGACATCCCTAATCCGTCTTTTCATCCACGGTTGTCTATATGGTGACTGGCTTAAAGTAATACTGGTAATCCAACAATGTTTTGTGTAACTGAGCTGATTTGGTCCACTGGTTCATCAGTTTTCTATTTGTTTAAGCAAGTTTAAAAAGATGTGGCGTAGAGGGTCTGTCAAACTGTATTAATTACTCATAGTGTTTGGTAACTCTTGATGTTTGTATATATTTGGTATATTTAACGAACAATCAGTCCATGGCCTTGCAAATAAGAGCTTTAAGGATCCAATCATATCACTGGTAAATGGTTGAATGCGGATAGATACTCCTTTTGTTTCAAAAATAACAGCCGTGATAAAATTTGGTATTGCAGGTAGACAACTTTGACACAGTGAACCTGGTTGAAGCATGCCGAAAGGCAGGCGTAACAAGATTTGTACTCATCAGCTCCATTTTAGTAAATGGGGCTGCTATGGGCCAACTTCTGAATCCAGCCTACATTCTGCTCAATCTACTTGGCTTAACACTGGTTGCAAAGCTACAGGCAGAAAATCACATCAGGAAATCAGGAATAAATTACACTATTGTATGGCCTGGAGGGCTGACAGATCAACCCCCAACAGGGAATATAGTCATGGAACCTGAGGTAAAAGCCTTAAACTTATTGCTTGATGCTATTACCAATAATAGTTTTTAAGTTAGGTGGATTAGAGGGTAGATTTGCATAATTAGCAACACTGATCCCCATTTGGTTGCAAGAATTGTTTCTGATTCTTGCTGGAATCAGGAGAAACTGAACCAAACGTTGTTTTTGGTGAAGTGATTCTCCAGGGAACACCTGGTAATGTTTCTTCGTTTTGAGTTAGGAAGGAGAATCACCCAAATAGGTGTTTTGCAGTGATTTTAGTTCATTTTAGGGTGAATCTGGATTGATAGCCAAATTGTTTCACCAATTCTTACTAACGATTTGATTCAGCTGAGAAAGATCTATAAGGAGAATCTGAATCCCTATCAAATGCCCCTGCAAAAGAAGAGACAGTGGAATTTAAGTTGTGGCATCACGCTAATTCCACTAACACAATATGCAAAACCTGTAACATATGTGGCTTTAAGGTGAGATCTGCAAACCCATGTAACTAGGATATGCTATTCCATAGAACTTTTTACTGTTGGAAGTCAATAGGATGTTTTAGTGTTTAGAGGAATACTAATATGTTTAGAGGCCTCCAGTGTGTTTTAGTGTTTTCTCATCTTGTCATTACTGGAAAGTACTCTTTGTCCACCAATAGTTTATGCATAGCATTTTTGTTATTGAAATTTTTCAGGACACTCTTTACTCGGGATCCATATCTCGGAGCCAGGTTGCTGAAGTAGCTGTAGAAGCATTGTTGTGTCCAGAGTCTTCCTACAAAGTTGTTGAGATTATCGCCCGAGCTGATGCTCCAAATCGCCCTCTGAAGGATACGTACGCTGCAATTAAGCAAAATTGACTGGTCTGTCACATCAGTTACACAGAATGATTGATGAGTTATGTACAAGGCAAATCTATGCTTCATAGAATGACAGGATGGTTAATTTGTTGTACAGTACAGCCATGAACCAATGAACACTAAGGAGTTCTCAAAGTATAGTCTATGTATTTGGCATGCTATATTATACTTATAAATATCTATAAGTCCACCAAAGATTCTTCTAAGTCAAACCTTTTTAACTCTAACCAGCAATATATATATATAATAAAAGTATATTATCTTGAATTAAAAAATTATGCATAACAAAATTATTTTTCATAGTGATATAAACTCTGGGGTCAGTCTATAACTTTTTATATTGATGGCCAAAGGTAGAACAAAAAACTTAACTCATGACAAACCTAAATAGGCACGTTGAAAGAGAAACAATAAATAAAGAATAAGCTAAGTATAAAAGGGAAAATAAATTGAAGAATAGGAAAGCAATAAAGAAAAAGAACTTAAAAAATAAAAGGAATCATAAAGCAAGAGAGCGGAAACAAATATATCTTTTTTCTAGCATCAAGATACGACGACCGGCGGGCGTGGGCGGACGCTTCTATCCGGATTGGTTCGCTCGTAATGTTTGTGAATTGAATCATTACGCGGATTGGTTGGGATCGGATGGCTCCTGTTACGACAATCGGATGGCCCCGAGGCATGTCCGGACACATGCTCGAGTCGGACGTCCGAGCGCTAGGTGCGTCGTACTCCCTTTGTCCATAAAAACATGCAACTATGGGTTGCGGGTTAGAAAAAATAGTTCACGTTTGACCAAATTTCTAGTGAATAGTATTCATATTTATGGCTCCAAATCAATTTAATATAAAAATATATTTCATAATTAACCTAATAACATTTATTTGATATCATAAATATTAATATTTTTTATCTATAATTGATCAAACTTAAGATACTAAAACGTGACACTGTGATAGAATTGCATGTTTTCTTGGACGGAGAGAGTAATAGCAAACCTGGGCTTTCCGTGCGAGTAGGGGTGTGTTTGGTTTGAAGACAAGGGTGGATCAGATATGGCCATCCATGGATTTCGGGATATGGATATCCATGTTGTCTGTTTGGTTGGATGGATGGGGCGAGCCATTTTTTTTGGTTGGATGGATAAGATTACATGGGATGTGAATACTTGACTAATTATATCAATTATTTAAAAATAATAACAACTAATTATACCATAATAAATATGCACTGACACTAATCTTGTCATTATAATCACTAATTAAAAATAAAATATATTAATCAGCATTATACTACTCTAATTGTCACACAAAACATGCGCTAATCAACATGTGGATATCCTCATCTGCCAGATTTTTGAGGGCCATGATATCCGGTATCTACCTAGAATATTCCCTATTGTGGATATCCAGGGTTAGCTTGTCCATCCAACCAAACATCCTGTATCCATGGACATCCATAGAACCAAACACACCCTAGATGGATTGCCCAATCCAGGGCTTTGGGGATCTTTTGAGGGAATCGAACACCTGCCTACTCTCTCTCGTCTGACGCTTAAGAATGGGCAGGTAGTTGAGGGAGTCCTGCACCTGCCTACCCCTCTCGTCTGACGCTTACAAATGGGCAAGTAGATGGATTGCCCAATCCAGGGCTTTGAGGATCTTTTGAGGAAATCATGCTCCTACCTAGTACTCCCTTGTCTAATGCGTAAGAATGGATAGGTGGTTGAGGTAATCCTGCGCACCTGCCTACTCCCTATCGTCTGACGCTTACGAATGGGCAAGTAGATGGATTGCCCAATCGAAGACTTTGGGGATCTTTTGAGGGAATCCTGCTCCTGCCTATTCCCTCTCGTCTGACGCATAATGGGCAGGTAGATGGATTGCCCAATCCAGGGCTTTGGGGATCTTTTGAGGCAATCCTGCTACTGCCTACTCCCTGTTCATCATGTTCTACGAGGCTTACGAATGGACATGTAGATGGATTGCCCAATCCAGGCCTTTGGGGAACTTTAGAGGGAATCCTGCTCCAGCCTACTCCCTCTTATCACGTTTTTCAAAACAATATCAACTTTGATCAAATATACATATAAAATTATTCTAATTTTATGATACGCAAAAATATAATTAGACTAAGTATGCAATATAGTTTTATAATAAATATATTTCAAAATATAATTATTTATATTTTTTCTATAAACTTGATCATGAGATTTCTTGACTTCTTGAGAACGAGATTTATATTTTTTTTAGACGGAGGTAGCAGTTGAGTTCATTGATTCATAGGCGTGCTGGCTGTTTCGATAGTTTGTTCTGGATACCCATCACGTTTGGAAAGGCTGTTGAGTAGTTCTCCTGCTGCTCTTGTTCTACGACGCTTCCAAATGTCATACGTTTTTCTTTTCGCGAGGATTCCAAATGCTGTACATGCTTGTAACGTTGTACGTATTGCTGAATGTATACTGATGCGCAGAGAATCCTCCCCAGAGCTGACCTAACTGTCGGCCTCGCTTCCGAAGAAATAAGTTTGACTAATTTTATATAAAAAAATATTACTAACTTTGAGTAATTTTATATCAAAAAATATTAATATTTATTTATGATACATAATTAATATCATCATTGAATCTATTTTCACAATAAATTTATTCGAAGATAAAAATATTACACGTATTTTTTACGAATCTAGGCAAACTAGCACGAAAACTCAAAACTGGTGGAACGTGATCGGTTCGGCTAACCCCAAGATTATTAAGCGTTAAGTTTTTGGTCCACCTGCCATTTATTTTCAACTAAATAAGATCTGTCGTGATCGGCGACAACCCTTAGATCTTCTAGAGTTAGTGAAACAAATCACATAACCGGTCACTAAGGAGCTTGAGGGTTTAGGAAGGCGGTCTCCCACGTCCACGTACTGTTGCTGCAGATCTACATCAAGCTCTTCATCACAGAGTGAGTTCTAACCCTCGATCGGTGAAGATCAGTACACCTACTTCATCTACGTCAACTCCATCACATATCCAAAGGAACAGTTGGTATCTAACGTCTCCAAAGGAACAGATGACATCTCCCTAACTCTGGTTAGTCACTAAGATCTAATTTCCACATAAGATTTAGTTAGTGATCATATTTAGGCTAAGATAAGATCATGTTAGTCTAAGTTTTAATTCAACAATAGCTATCAAGAGCATGCTTAAACCTAATGAGATCCTAAACCAGAGTTTAATCTGTTTTTTTCCTCTGTCATGTTGGTTAGATTAGATTAGTCTCCGCTAAAGTTTTATTAGATGCTATTAGCTTCTGTTAAGATCGATCATGCATGCTTAACACTGTTCATGCTTGATTAGTAATCTAAGTGCAGAATTAGATCTGTTTTATGCTATCAGTAAGTTTCTTTAGACCTTAGTAGATGCGGTCTGAGGATAAGTTCATGATTAGACTAAGAATTTAAGGGGTTAGGGTTTAATGTTCATCACGATTAGACTCAGATTAAGTCAATTTTCAAGAGATCAGTGATGTTTTCATCAAATTAGGACCCCGATAAGCATTAGGCCTCGATCGGCAGCTCAGGCTTGAATCCGGCCCAGTTTTCATTCCTGGACCCAGATTTCAGAGGGATTCGTTCGTGTGGGTTATAGGTGAGGATTGGTTCCAGGCTGTAGAGGGGGTCGAATTGTTGAGACGGGCCGGATTGGAATCTAGGCTAGCCTTAATCGAATACATGTTCCGTGCTGGACTGGTATTCATTCCGTGCTGGCCCAATTCGGGTGGAATGGACCTCTTTTCGGGGCCGATCCGAGAGAAACGAACGAGGCCTAAAGAAGATGAATTGGGCAAACCACGAGAAAAGTCCCATAAATCCCCAACCCTAACCCTAAGCATCAGATCCCGCGTGGCTCATACCTGGATTATAGATTAGGTCGTCGTTGTAGGTTGTACTGCACCACAGTCGCACACGAGCGGATGGATTGTACTCGGCGGCCATAGGCCGGGTCGCCACCGCCGTACCGGCTGTGCTGCGCAGCAGCCGATCGAGCCCGAGGCTCGTACCCAGCGCCTTAGGCTGGGTCTCCACCGCCGCCGCTAGGCCACGCAGCATGGACCCACCGCGTGGGTTCGCCACCCCTACCGACTACATGCACGTGCTCGCCACCCCTGCCGGCTACGCCCGCGTGCTCGGATGGGCCGCCGTCGCCGCGCGAGGCCATGAGCGCCCGCCGCCGCCGAGGTCGGATGAGCAGCGCGCATCAGGTCACAGCAGCCGACCGCCGACGTGCGGGCCTAAGACGAGACACCGCCGCGCAGGCCTGAGACATGCGCGTCCGCTGCCTTCGTGTGCTGCCGCCGTTGAGGGTGCACTCACCGCGTGGACTGCGCGTGCAGGGGCCACCACTGCGCGCACTTGAGGGCGGGCCGCCGCCACGCGCACTTGATGGGGCCGCTGCCATGCGCGCACTTGAGCCTGCCACTGCGGGCGCTGACGCCGTTTTTGACCCAGGGCGTCACTGTATGGGCACCGGCCGAGTCTCCTAGATGGAGCCACGTGCGGCCTAGCCGCACGCGCACACTGGCCAGAGGAGCAACCGATGCCGATGGCTTTGGGGATGAGTGAGCTGAGGAATGGCAATCTTGCTTGTGCGGTGTTTTCATGTGCGGTTGAAGCAGGGGAGAAGAAAGATGAGTGAGTGAGGGCCACGGTTTTTATCTAATATTTTGTAGGGACAATTGTCTGTTGACATCCAAAGTGATGCTCCTTTGCTGGCGGACACCTACTTTGGAGCATTTTGCTAGAAGATACTATGGTTCCACTACTAACTTCTAACCCTTGCGCAATGATGAAAAAACGTTGCAACAGGCTCAATTTGGTTGCAAAAGGTAGATGTTGCAACCAAATCACGTTCGTTGCCAATGGTTGCAAAAAGTCACGTTGCAATAAGGTATTGCAACCGTTGCTAGTTTGGTGTTGCAAGTGTTGGGGTTTCTTGCAACCATAGGCGTCCG